ACACCATCAGGATAGAAAAAAAATGGACTCAAAGATATACCCACAAAAGCTAAGGTCCACCATAAGGACAATGAAATCCCAGGTTTTAGGGGAGAGAAAAAAATCCAAAGGCACAATCTTTTCCAAAACAAAACTGCATCTGGAGTAAATATTAATGCATTCCATCTTTATAACAATTTGCAAGATAGGTATGATAAGCCCCTTCTAACAGATATGATTTAACCACCTGCCCAAATTCACATAGTAAGGGGATGATCCCAAATTCAAATTCAGGGCTGCTTCAATCTTTTACCTGCATCATGCAACCTGCTATAAAAACATACTTGAAATAAAGGTGGTGACATATTAGAGGGTTTAAATAGGTTTTTCAGATCCTCCATAATCTTTCTATCTTCCACTATCCTTATTTTAACCAATCTTCCATTTTCCTGGGGGATTTGTGCTATACAGACATGCAGACCATATGTGTATTTGCTGAAGATTTAGTTTAAATAGCAACTAACATGATTAAGCTCCTGTAGTCTCTTTCACAACAGTTCACTGAAGTCCCAAAGGGAAAATAATGTAACTCAAACATTGCATTACCTTAGAAAAATAAATTAAACAGTCACATGCACACCATGCTGTATTAAAGCTGTATAACATAATGTTACTCTGCCTCTGGAAGCAAATTACTGGAAACAGATATTCAAAAATGAACAGAGGTATATAAAACATGCCTAATTACACAACCAGCCAACCAACTGAAAAGAAAAGTTTGCATACTATGAAAACAAAGAAAAGTTCGCATACTATGCAAACACAGGACATGGTGGAAAGATAAGAAATGAGGTGACAGTGGGTATGGCATGCCTCACTGGGACCGGTCCAGAGGAAAGCTGTCCCTATATTAGTGGAAAGCTTGCAAAAGGAAGACTTCAGATTTGATTTGAAAGAAAAATCAGATGATGACTTTTAAGAAACAAAGTCCAATAGATTCATAGTGCTTCATTAAACTTTACATCTCCATTGTTGGTAAAGTCTCTGGCATATAATAATGCTAAATAAATGAGGGAAGGAGGGAAAAAGAGGAAATGAACTCAGGGTATTCCAGTCATGCCATCATTCTCTGTAAGAATGAAAGGTAAGGTCCCTCTGCTCTGTTGCATTTTCCCCATAGCATTCTGGCCCTCCAAATTTGCTGGAATACTCAACACTATCTATCTATCTATCTATCTATCTATCTATCTATCTATCTATCTATCTATAGATAGATACACACACAGAGTATATGCCTTTAATTACATGAGTGTGTGTATGTGCATGCATTCTATTCTCAGAGGTAAATTCCCTGAAGGCAAGGACTATGCTTGTCTTGGTCTCCATTACAACCCTAGTACCAAGTACCTAGGTCCCCTCTAAGACTCCAAGTACCTTTGCTGCCACTTCTGGAGTGCCAATTCTGGGGAAGGAGCCTTGAACACTCCAAATAATATCTCCAAATGTATGGACCATTGGAGGTAACTAGTCCTGTAAACAAGAAAGCATTCTAATTGTTTCCTTTCCACAAGTATAAACACAGCCCCTTAAGAGCTACATTGATTCGGTGCCTCAAAAAAATAAGGCTTTTTTCCTATTATTTTCCATACAGTTTAGTGACCCCTCCTGGAAAACATCTGGGAGAAAACAACCATGTGTTACTTAACGTCTATGAGAAATCTCTTAAAAATAAACCAATCCAGGAATACTTGGAGATGACTACCACCAGAATCCTTTAGCTTAAATGTTTTCCTTACATTTGCTCATTAATATCCATGAGATGCTGCATGGGAAAGTTAATCATTTAAAGTGACTGAAGACAGATGCTGCCAAGTATTAGCAATTCACAGGCCACTACAGCTAATTCACATGCTACTTTTCCACGAAGTCCATTTTTTTATTTTTATTTTTCAATTACAGTTGACATTCAATATTATTTTATATTAGTTTCAGGTGTATAGCAAAGTGGTTAGACAATCATATAATTTGCGAAGTGGCCCCCCCCCACAGATGAAGTCTCCTTTTCATTCAGGAATTTTACACTAACCTCTCTCCAAAAGAGTTGAGATACTTTCAGGGGGAAAAAATGATAAATTTAGTCCTTATTCAATTAGCCAATATAAAAATATAAATCTTGAAATGCCCCTTGCTACCTATTAGAAGTGCTAGCCCTGGAAGGGGCAGTCTCTCTCTATTCAGAAAGGTATTTAAGATGTCAAAACACCGAACTATATGGAAAATAAAAATTACAAGTACTACAACAGAAACATGTACACACATCCTGCTTATTAAGAGGAGATTTAGCAGCCTCATTCTGTACCCCTCAATTCATGCCAAAGAAAAAGAGACAGCAACTTAGAAGAAATCAACTTCCCAAATCCACTCAGAATGCTCAATGTGACACGTCTGCTCCCCGATTATAATTGGGATTTGCAAAGCTTGTATGGACACAGTAAAGGGGGGAGGTGGTATGAAATGTCGACAAGGGTAGAAATGGAGAGTTTTAACTGCCTAAAAAGCAACAGTCAACAACTTCTGGGAAACATCTGAAGGAGAAAACACAGAAAACAATTCAACGTCAAAAAACATCACTGAGTTTGCACTCTGTCTCACAGAGAGCTACAATGCAAGGCATGTCCTCTCCCAAACAGCCATGCAGAGAAACGACCATCTCTAGGAACTATACATCTGACCAGCACCCAACAACTGGCCCCACTTCCAAACAGACACATTGTCTTAACTTCTTTCACGGAGGTCAACAATATGAATCCCCCCCCACCCCCCACCCCCCCCCACCCCCCGCTTTAGAACTGAGAAGAAAGATGTCTACAAGTGCTTAAAGCAACTTGATTTAAGATTTATTTAAAATCAAGAATAATAAATTTTAACTTGACACGCACTTTTTACAATCCCCCTGGGCTACTCCAACTTAAGGTACCCCTCCTTACAACCCTTCTCCACTACCTTCCCCTCTCATATACCAAGCATGGTGAAAGGCTAGGAAACTTTCTTTTCTCTACAAATTGTATATATTTCTCTTGCATTTAGAGTCTAGTTACTTAACAATAAATAATAACAGCTACCCTGGCCAGTGAGTGGTGCTAAATGGTTAGAGCATCGACCTCAGTGCCAAAAGTCGAGGGTTTGACTGCTAGTCCCAGTGCAACCAACTGATGTATCTCTCTCACACACTGATGTTTCTCACCCTCTCTCTCTCTTCCTCTCTCTCCCTCTGTCTCCCTCTCCCTCTCTCCCTTGCACTCTCTTTAAAAATTAATGGAAAAATATCCTCGGGAAAGAATTAATAATAATCCTATATAAAAGACCAGGGATCATAAGAAGCATAACGACCGGAACAACCTATCGACCAGTCACTATGAGGTGTATTGACCACCTCTTGGTCCCTCCCTGCAGCCTGCAGGCTCTAATCACTGGATGGCCAATGGAGAACTACGGAGAACCAGGGTAGTGGTGAGATTGGGTTGAGGACTGGCAAGGAGGCGGAAGGCAGACCTCTTGGTCCATCCCCCAGGCCCATAGGCTCGGATCATGGTTAACAGGGAACCACTGGGAACTGGGGTGAGCGGCAGTGGGGCAGGACTGGGGACTAGAAAGCAGACGGAAGACCACCCTGATCATAGGCTAGACCTAGGGACCCTACCCGTTCACTGGGCCTCTAGTAATAATGACAGCAGCTAATACTTATTGAGCATTTATTATTTACCATTCTGCTAAGTATTTTTATATGCATTTTCTTCCTAAATCCTTACAATTCTAGGAACTAGGTACTATTTCATCTTAATTTTCCAGATAAGAAAATCAAGTAACTTGCCCAAGGTCATATGGCTGCTGAACAAAGTCAAAATTTAGATCCAGGTTGCTGGACTAGAGAGCCATAGTTGTAATGACTAAACTGCTAAAGAGACACAGTTATTTCCATGAACTTCTCACTTAGGCCAAAAAGGCATGTTCTCTGCCTGGGAGCTCCAGCAGCCTCCAGCAGCCACAGTGCAGACACACATCCTGGTACCAGAAGGGGTCCCACACCTGCCACACGCAGAGGGGCACACCCCAGGTGGTACTCCATTTCTGGATCCTCTAGAGCTGGAGCTAAGTGGCCATAGGGAATGTCTCAAGGAGGGGGAAAGTACTGGCTTATCAAAAATGGTGTGGCTTTTTCATTTAATAAAGGGGAGAAATCAAGTGGCATTACAGGAGAATCAGGTCGGGATTTAAGGATCTTCCTGATAGCACTGCTAATCTTAAACAGACAGCTCAAATAAGCTAAGCACATGGCTTTCTTTAAAAGAATTAACCTGTTGCCAAGGAAAGTGTCTCTAAGAATTGGAATGTTGTCAAACTAGCTTAACACCACGAAATGGTACGACTTAATGAGACACTATAAATCTTGAGGAATAAAACACAAAGTTCTCTCTCCAAAGACTGTGATTTCACAAGTGAGTTGCTATTGTCCCTGGGTGGGCGCATACACACACACACACACACACACACACACACACACACACACGTAGGTGAAAAGCTGTAACTAAAAGCTGACTTTCCTTTTAATTGAGGAAAATGTCTCCCCGCCCTTCCCTTTATGCAATTCCTTTTGAATCATGTTATTGAATTTAAAAAAGTAAACATTTCTTTAAAGTAAACAAATCTCAATAGCATTTACAGTCATGTTAAAGAGTCAGTTTTATTTAAACATCTATTCAACCTCCTGAGACAAAACACACATTCCTAAGACAAGGAACCTTCACACTAAAATAAAACCAACCAACCAACAGCTCAGTGCTGAACAAAAAAATGTGAGGAGGTAACACTGATCCTTAAAAATCAGCAACAAGCCGGAGTCTATTCCCAAATGAATATTAAAAGGTGGAGAAGGAAAACAGGAAGTTTTGACTGAATGGAAAAAGATACGATATCCAAATTCAGTAGTATTTGTTCCTGGGAAAAGTGTAACAGCTACTCACCTGTCTACTGCTTCTACGTCAAAGCAAAACCTCTTCTCAATAGAGTCTGTTTTCCGCCGGATGCAGGATTTGAGAATGATCGACTCGTCTTCTCCCTGTTAGGAACACACAGACTATCAAAATGAAGCCAGATTATGGGCTCTGCTTCCCTCCAGAACAAACATGCCCCATGAACAGGACTGATCATTTCCTCTTCTCATACCTGAATGTTCATGACCACAGGAGGTAAACAGTTGATCATAAACCTTCTCAGGCGGCTAAAATTTGTCAACCATCTTCTACTTGGAGTCAAATGTCTTTAGTACTGGTAGATCATGATAGTCCAGCATCAACTCATGTTACATTAAATTCTTGTTGATATTATTTTAAGTAGGCTTAACCTGTAGATTTGACATGAGTCGAAACAAAATGACCTTGAGGTTTCCTCCCAACTCTAAACTTCTTGGGTCTTGGTTCAGTTGTCACTTCTCGGTAAAGTCAAATACCCTTACACAAGTTCACACAGCACCGTGTGCCTCTCCCTCCCTCAGAGCACTGAACACAGCTGAAATTTCCCATAGATACGAGCAATGACTCAAAGGACATATCTCTCTTCATTGGACTCTAAGCTCCCTGAGGAAAGGGATTGTGTCAGCTTTTGCTTACTCTTGTATCCCCGAGCCTAAACAGGCCTTGGACTAGAATAGGCACTCAACAAATGTTTTAACAGATATATTGAGATATAACTAATATGTAATAAACTGCACACATTTAATGTGATCAGTTTTATGAGTTTTGATGCCTGTATACATCTGTGAAATCATAACCACAATCAAGCTAATGAATATACCCATCATCCTCAAAAGACTCCTGCTGTTCCTTTGTAATCCACCTCTGTACCCCGAAAACATTGAATGTGCTTTCTGTCACTATAGGCAAGTTTGCATCCTATATTATAAAGAGCTAATATGCCAATTAAACCGAACAGCCGAACAACCATTCAGATGAACTTCCAGATGTAGCCGAAGCTATAAGGGCTGAGGCAGCTGGGGCTGTGAAGGCTGAGGCAAATGTGGCTGCAAGGGCCAACCTCCTTTTACGAACTTTGTTCATAGGGCCTCTAGTATTCTATAACTTTACAGAAATGGAATGCCCTTTTATGTCTGACTTCTTTCACTCAGCATAATCCTTTCGCAACTCATTCATGTTGTGCAAACCAAGAGTTTATTTATTTTTATTGCTGAGTAGTACTCCATTGCACAAATGAAATGCTATGGTTTTATCATATAGCACTAATTTCTTCTCTTTCTCTCATGTAGGAATTTGTTAAAGATCCTGTTTCTCCTGCATGCCCCAATCTTTCTTGTTCTAAACGAGGGAGGAAGTTAGTGAACTTGCCTAGTTTGTTGAAATAATAGGAAATGTGACTGCATATGGTAAAACTAACCTCGCACTAATATCCAAAAAGTACACAAAACACAGAAGACCTTGGAAGAGATAGTTTATATTCACAGCCTTACATCTATTGGGTTTTACTGAAGAGCTAAGATTAAGTTCTCAGATTGAGAACTGCTCCTTCAACACTGTGTGAATGTATGAGTGTAAACGCCCAAACACAAGGGATTCTGACTATGTTGATGTCTGACTATACTTCAAATTGAATGAACATGGAACAGCTTCTGCTTTGAAAGCTTATAGAGAAGTGTCTCTGGTAAATGGGAGGGAACAAAGAAAATATAAAATATTGTCAAATATAAGAAAACAGAAGATTCTGTTCCAAGGATGGCTATATCATATCAAGAAGAATATATAAAGACAATTTGTTCAACTGCCCATGGTTTAAAAAAGTGGGGGATGCAGACAATAATCACTTAAACAGATAAATGAAAAGTTAGAAGTGACAAAAACTAAGTTGTGTTACAAAAGCCTAAATTAAGGAGATTTGACCTGGTCAAGAAGGTCAGCAAAGGTTTTCCTAGGCATGGACTTGAAGGATTCATGCGATAAGATCAGCCTTGGGGATGAAGAAGAGCAAGTGGGAAAAAACCTGTGGTCAGTCCTTGGCTCCCTAAAAGAACTGAGGGAAGCTAGTATGGCTAGAATTCCAGACCAAGAGGGAAAGTGGAATGAGAAAGGGTTTGAGGAATGCAACCGAAAGATCAGGCAGATTGTGGTCTGTATGGTGAGCGCTGTGGGGAAATAATGAAATATGTCAAATGAGGGAAGGAATAAGGTTAGCTTTGGGCTGCTGCACACTTCCTGCAGAAAGGTACCTCCTCTCACACTGCAGGATGCAGGGAAGTCTCTCTCACCAGAGATAAAAAACAGATCACATAAAAGGGAAATGTGATTACCAAGGAAAGGAGAACCCTTGGAGCACAGCAAGGAACTCCCAACCAAGGAGCCTGATGCAGCCTGAGTTCCAAATGTGGCCACAGGAACATCCTCCAGCCCACCCACTCTTCAGATAGTGTGACTCTGACACTCCTTCTTCCACTGAATGGCAGTGTCTGCATCCTCTCCCACTGATTTTGGGTGGATTGGGTGGGCTTTTGTGACTGCTAAAAAAAAAAAAACATAGGACAGCCCTACCCAGTTTGGCTCAGTGGATAGAGCATCAGCCTGCAGACTAAAGAGTCCCAGGTTCGATTCCAGTCAAGGGCACATGCCCGGGTTGTGGGCTCAATTCCCAGTGGGGTCGTGCAGAAGACAATCAACCAATGACTCTTTCATCACTGATGTTTCTATCTCCCTCTCCCTCTTCCTTCCTCTCTGAAATCTATAAAAATATATTTTTAAAACAAACAAACATAGGACAAAAGTAATGTAATATGACTTCTAAGAGTAGGTCATTTAAAAGCAATGCAGTCTATGTTTTCATTACTGGAATATTCACTCTTTAAACATTTAGCTTCCTAGTGGCCACCATGCTGTGAGGAAGCCCAAACTATGCCACATAGAGAGATCAGATAGACAGGCCCTGAGACTCCAGAGAAAGAGAGGGAAGAGAAGAAGGTCGCGGAGGCGGGGTGGGGGGTGGGAGGGCTATTCTCCCCTATTCTCCCCGGCCTTGAGCTGCTTCAGGTGCTTATTGTTCCAGCTGGAGTCACCATCTGATTGGAGCCCCAAGAAAAATCCTGAGCCCAAACCACCCAACCAAATGCTCACCAAATTTCTGACCCACAGAAACTGTGAAAAATGCCAAGAAGATTGGTGTTGTTTTAAAAGTTGCTCAGTTTGGAGGTGAACGTTACACAGCAACAGATAACTGGAACATCTAAGCTGCCAAATGGCAGCCCTGTGAGTATCAAGTGAGAATGATGTAAATCCGTTTCACAGGGCGAGGTCACCCAAGAATTTCTAGCATCTAAACACATTTGACACACTTAATCCTGCATATTTTGTGAAATCCAAGAATCTTTCTTGGTTGTAATTTCTAATATAACTTGGAGCTAAGACTAATTTTGTATAACTTACTGTTTAGGGTACTATGCCTCCTGGAACTACTGTATAAAAACTAAGAAAATTAGAGTGGAATATTGGAGGTTCTACTTTATACAAGCATTGTCGTTATTTGTTAGTCAAGCAAATCAAGTGTGAAATTTTAAAAAAATTAACAAAAAATTAACTCACCCCCTTTCCTCCTGACTTTTGGTCAAATGGTACCATGGTGATCTGTTTGGAATCCCGCTGATATGTACAGTAGTGCTTCACCCAAGAAGTTCCAAAGTGACCTGCAAAGTAATATTTTCCATAAAAAAACTACATATGTCCACTGTGTGCCGGGGAGACATACAACCCGTAACCCACAATGCTCACCTAGCCTTAACTTGTTTTTAGGTGTACTATATTCCCCACACCAGCTAGACTGGAACAGGCAGAAATCTGATCCCTCGGGCTGGAAATGGAGCTTAGACAGACTTTCCTCAGAGACCAAGGAAGACAGTTTCCCACTAAATGTTACATCCAATGGGTCTTAAAAATGTAAGGGAAGTAGAGGTTCCCTGGGGAAATTAATTCACTTTCCCATCATCAATCTCCACTTGAAGTTTCCTGTCTCTCCCCTGACAGCAGTAAGATGACTGAGGAAAGAACACAGAAAGGCTCCTCAAAGAGCTTGTCACTGCTCCCATCTGCTGCAATGACTTCATGTTTCCCACACAGCTGCTCTGCGACTATGTACACAGACAGACAGGAGATTCTGACCTACTTCCAAGCCCCTAATTTCCACGTTAGCAGAACTCAAGAAGACTGAGAAGCAGAAAGAAAATACAGAGACATCAGAGATACAGAATGGAAGTAACTGTAAGTGCCCGAATGTAAACTAAGGACTCTCCCTCAAAATTATCCCTCAGGAAAGATGGAGATGCCCACCCCCTTCAAAGTCTAAGTCTCTGATTTTACCCAGTGCTTATTATTTTTTTTAGCCTACAAAGACCTCAGCCAATACTGGTCTTAGATGCTTACAGAATCACATAGCAGAAGTTGTGAAAAAAAATAATTATAATATGAATAGAGATTCTGCAGACATTTAATCATTATTTTTCAGGGTGTGACTGACCATTATAAGTGTTGGAGATTACTTAGTAAATTTAAAAAGCATTATGATAAGTGTCTGCATTAGAACATCAGAGTCAAATGAAAATACCAACCATTCTAACGTCTCCTTTTGTGGCTTCAAGAAAAAAAAATTCAGTGATAGCACAACACCAAGATTCCAAAGTTGCTTGTATCTTGGACAATTTGAACATCAAAACAAATAAGGACAGTAATGAAGTTAGCCTATAAATAAAATGGGAATCCATGAGTCCATACTGATAATAGGAAGATAGAGGGGTGAATGGGCAGATGGATAGGTGGATGGACGGATGGATGGGTGGGTGGGTGCGTGGGTGGGTGGATAGATAGTAAAGACGAAAAGGAGGAAGGGGGGAGGGAAAGACAAAAGGAAGGAGAGAAAGAGAGAGAGAGAAAGAGAAAAAGAGAGAGAGAGAGAGAGAGAGAGAGAGAGAGAGAGAGAGAGAGACAGACACACAAAGTGAGATCACTTCCTTACAATATACTATTATAAATGGCAACTGATAAATGTGGATGAGTGGGAGAGCTGAGAAATCACCATTTTGCAACCATTATAGTAAAGATCAGTTCTGGCAGAATTTTCAGTGGAAGCTGAGTCTATGGGGGACAGGGGTGGGGATATTAAACTATTTCTCCACAGACTGCTAATTAGTTACAAGGGAAAAATAGTGACTGTACAGGGAAGAAACCAGACAGTACCTCGAATAGGTGATCAAAATTTACATCACCACTGAGGGGCAAATGGCCACAGAGGAGAACACAGTGTTACCTGTGTAGGAGATAACCAGGGACACATAATCTGAATCTAATCTTGAGGAAACATTAGCTGAACCCACACTGAAGAATTACATATATTCTTCAAAAATGTCATGTCATAAAAGACAAAGAAACGCTGAGGAAGTTTTACAGATAAAGGAGACTAAAGTCATAACAACTACCCACAGTATGAGCTCCTGCCCTGGAGAAAAACAAATGCTGTGTAAGGGTATTTATATGGGGACAACTGACAAATTAGAATAGACAGTGTCATTTATATTAACTATCTTATCAATGTTAAATTTCCTGCATATGATAACTATGGTTTACATAAAAGAATATCCTTATTTTTAGAAAACATACACTGAAGTAAAAGAACATGGTATATGCAACCTGTTCTCAAATGGTTCAGAAAAAACTAAAATTGTGTATGTACCTGTGACAATAATGTACACACACACCCTTACAGAGAAAGAATGATATAACTATGGGAAAATGATAAAAATTCATGCATCAGGGTAAAGGTCATACAGTTGTTCTCTACAGTATTCTTGAAACCTCCTTTAAGTTTTGTATTACTTCAAATAATGTTACAAAAACTTTCTAAGAAAAAATAAAGATGTATCCCAATGATATGCTCTGGGCTACTGTATTACAGAAATAAAATGTGGAACCAACGATAATCAAGACATTAACGCTGAAAGAGCACGTGAAGTATTTGAATAAAACTGTACAATGTAATGTGAGCATGCAAAATTCAATACTAATTTTACCTATGTAAGTGAATAATATTAATAAATTAAGCATTACAAGTAGACATTGGACTGTATTTTTGCAGTCCTAAGAATTTATATTTTCAAGTTCACCTTAAATTCGGGGGGAATAGATCTTCTGACTGGGCAAACAAGGCATCCCCTTACATCAGGTATATATGAAACACAGAACTAAAGTAGCTTGTTTCCTACAAATCTCAACAAGCTCGTCCCTATAAGAATAAGGGACATGAAGTTCTAATCACAACCAATGCTCCAACTTCCAACCACACTACTCCCCCTATTGTCCACAGGGAACAATGTTAAACCCATGCAAATGTTTAGTAATCACTGAACAGAATAATCACTGAAACCAAGTGTTCTACTTCTGCTCCATCGGGAAGCTTCCAGGATGAAGATATTTGTCTAACCCAAAATCAACAGAAGGACATAAAAGCACAAAACTGGGAAAAATCTGGGAGAAGTAATGTGTCTAGCCAAGAAAGCAGGAGTAGGAGACTATGAGAAAAGCTATTCTTTAAAGAAAACAATCTGCTATCTTTTCCCCCTAGTATTGCTTACATGAATCAAGCCTGGGAGTGCACAGCCCCTTCAGTCATAAAGCCTTCCCCTAGGCCTAGGGCATGAATTTGAGAGTCATTACTGAAAACTCCATGTCCCAGCACCTGGCATTTCTTTCCTGGCATCACACCAGTAAAGCAATGATGAGTCTTCTTCCTGGCTCTGGGAATGAGCTCTTGTTTCTATTTATCATAAAATGTAAGTATTGGGATGACTTGAGGAGAAGAGGGAAAGCCCCATGGTTGTTTGGGCCTTGCTGAAATAAGTCTCAAATGAAAACAAAATCACTAAATTGTAAGTCCACCAAAGGATATGATTGCTAATGGACAGTTAGGTCTACCAGGCAAGATTTTCCCAAGTCCTCCATGCCAAAGGTATGGTGTTTAAAGCTAAACTAAGGGGACAGGCACCTCAAGAGTCGAGAGACATGAGGGAGAAAAGAAGCACGGTGGAACCTCACTGCATTCCAGTTACAAAGAAAACAGAACATGTCCCTTGGCTGTAGACAAGACTTGTGGACACCACCCTTCCCCTAAAAAACTGAACTAGGAAAATACTCTCATTCACCCAAACCTGTGTTTTCAGAACTTTTGGCCAGCCACCACCGGACACACCCTTCACCTTGTGGGCAAAAAGCATGAGCACACCCCAAGCTGTTGGTCGCCACAGGCACTCACGTTTCTCCTGAACATAGAGGTACCCTTCCATGGTGTAGGGACTGATGGTCTTGTGCTCAAGGGGATTCTCCTTCATTTTTTTCATCAGTGATTCCACTTCTGACCTGGTGCCTTCAAAGCGATTTCTTGTCTAGGATGAAAGGAATTATATTCAAGTCAAAGAAATAAAACCCTATCCCCACCTCTAGCAATTCAGAACCTCTACCAATAGAATTCTTATATCTAAAAATCAGATAATTTAGTTCTAAAGTCAGCCATCTAAGAATTAGGCAAATATTCAAGAAGTATGCTTTAGCCGTAAGGTCCTCTATCAGATTGTCTCTCAAACTCTAAGGACCATCAAAATCACGTAAGGAACTTGGAGTAAATGTAAATGCCCAGGCCTCACTCCTAAAGATGAATGAGTACCTCTGGACCCAGATATGTGTATTTGAAATGAGCATCCAAAGTGATTCTGCTCCACAGGAGGGCATGCCCCCAGCTCCCTTCAGGCCTGAGGGGCTCATCCTCCAGCTGCAGGCAATGTTGGTGGCTGATATCTCAGATGGTTCCCTCCTCCAAAGGGAGCTGCCTCACTGAGGGATACTCCCTTCCCCAGGGCAGCCTATACCCACCCAATGACTAGTCTGGGGACAAAAAGGGAAGATCCCCTTGCTTCTATTCTCATGGCTCCAAAGGCCATCCCTACTCCAGGGCACCCAGGGCACAGACCCCCTCTGCCTCAACTGCATCTCAGCTCAACCTCTCCTGCAGGGACTTCACTCCCTCACAAGTATTTCTGCCAACACTGCTCCCTGTAAACCTGCTACGTGTAAATCTCCACTTCCGTTGGCCCTCTGAGGAAGCCAGCCAAAGGGGAAGCCAGGCTTTGTGAAACCTTTTCCCAGACTCTGCAACTTCCTGTCAGAGTGAGCTGCAGGCTTCCAAAAGCCATGCAATACAACCCACATGGATGCATTTGGTTTCTTTTCTCCATAGGATCCTCTAGAGACAAAGATAATGTAGATACTAACATGGCCAGACGTAATTAAGAAGGGGGCTCGGACCCCAGGAACTGCTAACCAAAGAGCCTTGGGCAGGATTCTGAGCACCAAGAGGCCCCACTGTATAAACCACACTGACTTGGATATCCTCTCAGCATTACTAAGAGTTGAATAAGAGCACATCCTTTGAGCTGGAGGTCAGCATGTGTGCCCCACCCCCACTCCTATACACACACACACACACACACACACACACACACATACACACACACCCTGTGGCCAGGCAGCTAGATGCACAGAAGGGGGCTTGGCAGGGCAGGGCTGGGTTGGGCTGGGCTGGGCTGGACTGGGCTGGGCCTTCCACTGCCAAAGGAAATCCTGACCCTGATGCTACAGATTTAAAACATAATCAGCAGCAGCACTTCCGAAAACATAAATAGTGCTTTGAAATAATAGAGAATAGGATGATGTTCTAATCTGTGGCCACCAAGACCCTAGAAAAACTTGCCCCCATCTGCCCTTTCAACCAAGCAAGACCCACCCCCTTCCCCTTACCTGCATTCCATCCCAGATAAGTGCTCTCTATGCAACCAGAACCATAATGTGTTTTTTCCTTTCCTTAACCAAGGAAGGGAAGTCTGTCCCTTTGCCCACTCACATTCTGTATGCTAATGGTCAGCTGCATCTTGAAGTCGCTGAAATCCTTGGCCAGTTCATAACCGTGGTGATAGAAAGTGAAAAGTCCTTGCAAGAATGCCAGTAGCTGCAATGAGGTAGAAAGGTAGAGTTCACCATATATATAGGCAAAAGAGGTTATTATGTAGTTGTATCTGAGTTCCCAACTCTGGTTGAAAACCTAGAATAAAGTAATAAAATGGCTATCACTTACTGAGCACTATTTGTACTCCAGAAACAGTAACTTTATATGCACTGTCTCACGGAGCGCTCACAGCAACCTATTAGGTACATACCACTGTTATCTTCATTTTCATAATGAGGAGGTAGACTCAGAGAGGTCAAGTAACTTGCCCCAAAACACACAGTAAATGGCAGCCAGAATTTGAAGCCAGATCTCCTTGACACCAACAACCAAGCTCACCCTGTGAGCCTCACCACTTCTTAAGATAAACATTTCATCAGGAAAGTGAAGACCAGAGCACCAAGTTAGTCTTCTAATATGTTTGTAATATCAGGTTACTGTGCAGAAGTGTATGGTTACATTGATAACCAACAAGAAAGAAAGAAAAGGAAGTTGGTATATTCTGAGTCTGAAGTCTAACAGGCAAAGTCAAACCAAAAGAAATCATCCAGGTCAGACTTTAGCTCAAGTGTGCTTCTCAGCTTTCCCTCAACTATTCAAAAGTAAGCACTATGGATTCCTTTATTAAAATACTCCCATGTTCCCACATTTTCAGGTACGAAGGTTTCCTTAAATTCTCATTTAAATTTGCCTTGGGCTAAAGGTAAACCCATTCTTTGTTTAATCTTGTCTTTAGTGAAGAGTGCAAACATCTCTCCACTAAAATTCTTATAAGAGACCTTCATATACTTAAAAAACTATTAATGTCCTTGCCTGGACATTAATGCCCCTGCCAGCCTTCCCTTCTCCAGTGGAATAAACATCCCTTCAGTCTTTTCTCTAGACCTAGGTGCAAGCCTCAAGGCTGCCCTGGGCCCTCCCCGAGTTCCACGCATCTGGCCTCAGTTCCAAATCTCAATCTGAAAATGGATTATAGTCAGAGCTTGAACAAGTTTTAGAAGAACCAGAACTTCACTCTATCCTAGGTTCAGTTTTACTGAATTTAGGGACCATACCTGTTCTAACTGGAACTTCAATGCTGACTCACATGTTCTAAATGGTCCACTCTGACCTCTCTAATCTGCCTCTACCACATTACATAAGACACAGCTGCTTTACTTTATGTTGTGTTTAGTTTTTCTGTCCCTAAATGAAGATACCTTTACCTATTAACTGTGGTATCACTTATGTTCACCTAAGTCTCCTTTTCTGGGAGTCAGCCCTAATAATGGGGGGACTCATTCCACACTACTACTCTCCCACCATGCTTGTGACAGAAATGGAAAGCACCAAGGTATGTGCAACGCTAACTGAGATCAGAGGAAAGACCTGTCTTTGGGCTGAGCCACAGGCCCAGCCCAGTTTACCAAAGATCTCTGTACCAGAAGTCAGACAAAATCCAGCTTACAACTATGTGGTACCTTGACTCTCCACTGCCACTGCCCCTGCATCACCCATCCTCTGAGATCCTCATGGAAGGAGGAGGAGCAGGCATTGCTGGATCCTCTGGCTGTAAGAAAAAAATCACCTAGTGGCACCACAGACAGATCCCTAACCTAAGTCAATGAATGGGCGGTAAGGTACATAGAGCCACCAAAGACTAACGATAAACGCTTGCTTCGAGGATGACCTAGCCTTTGGACTTACTCTATGTAGAATACTTTTTTGAGAAGGCCCATACTTCTCCTTCTAGCTGGCTCCAGCAATATACAAGAAGGGGCTCAGATGACAAACCTAGTGTCGGTTTTCACAATGAAAACTGTTCTAGCTCTTCCCTCCCTGCTGTCCTTGAATGCTGTGCCCATCACTTTTCCAAAGCACTGAACTATTCCCTACAGGAGAATAAACAGAAGATAAGCAGCTAGTTCTAAGGTCATTCCTCCTATTAGCTCTGATTTATCCTTCCCTTAAAGTCAACAAAGCCTCTCTTGTGCAGAGCAATTAAATATCTCAAACAGCTCACTAAGATGCCACCTGGGCACACACAAAAGTGCTCCAAAAGCAGAGTTACCTATATTTATTTTGGTTTTCACTTCCTTTGGTATCATGCCTGATCATCCATTTTTCTATGGAAAGTGATTCCTTAAACACTGCTACCTTTGGCCCATTTTCCCTTCTTTCTCCCCCGTGTAGCATCTTTTCTCTTTACCCAACCTGCTGACATACCCTTCCCACAAACTGTATGAACCTTGAACCTGTTACCCAGTGGGAAATGAAAGTCCATTCCTGGAGGTGCCAGGCGAGGCTCAGAGAAGGACTCCAGAGATGGAAAGATCTGTCTGCCTCAAAGAAATGTTTCTACTCAAACAAACAGAGAAGAGCTTGCTGCAGCCTCACCTGCTTGTCAGACAAAAGAAGCCAGTACGGCCACCCAGGCCCCTCCCTGAATAGTCACAGCACAACCAAGACCTTCCCCACTTCCCTTTGCCTGCACCTCCATTGTTGTATTCCTCAGGAAATACCTGTTTAAAAAAAAACAAAACATTCCTAGCTGACAACATTGATCTAATTTATTTATTTTTAAGTAAGCAAAAATGTAACTCCTTCATTTTAGTGGGCTGCGTCATGCTGGACTATCTGATAACTTTAGGTTGTTTCCATTCATAGAATAGAGCTACTGTGATAGGTTAAATTGTGTCCCCACCTCCTACAACCCTGCCCCTCCAGCCAAAAGATATGTTTAAGTCCTACGTGCCATACCTCAAAATGTGATTTCATTTAGAAACGGGGTCCTTACAGAGGTAATCAAGTTAAAATGAAGCCATTGGGCCTTAATCTAAAAGGACTGGTATCCTTACAAAAGGGACACAGAGAAATTGGACACAGAAACTCATAGGGAAGATGAGGGATAGGACAGATGCATCTTCAATTTGAGGAATGACGAATACTGCCAGCAAACCACCAGAAACTGGGAAGAGGAAAGCAAGGATCATTTCCCTGCAGATTTCAGAGGGAACATGCCCTATCAACACCTTGACCTTAGACTTCTTGCCTTTCATACTATTAGGCATTGCATTTCTGTTGCTCTAAGATACCTGGTTGTAGTACCTGTCTATAGGAAACCCAGCAAACTACTATAGCTGCCAAGAAGCATTCATTCATACAACAAAGGACAGACAGTAGAATGATGAAAAGCTGGGCTGGGTAGGTCATATAAACTCATCTTTTACAGGAGAACAATAATGCTACCTACACTGGGCTCTGTACACACTAAAATCATCTATGAAATGGGCTTAGATTAGCACACGAGTGCCAGCAGGAGCTGTTCCGCAAGAGAGATAATCACACTGGTGTGTTAGAAGATGCACTGTGCTAACAGCGTCCAGGCCGGACTGGAGAAGGGGGAACAGGACAGGATGCCACAGACCAAAGAAGACCTGCCAAGGGGCAGGAGCAGTGAGAAACGATAGAAGACACAGCACGAGAACACTCAGGAGGTGGAACTCAAGAGGAGGCAGCATCTGACATGTGAGAATGAGTTCTCTGTGGCACTGGGTAACCTTCAATTATGAAAACTTGGGGAACAGACGGAGCAGGGCTTCACCTTCATAAGGTCAGTACATCATAATCTGTGATCCAAATGTCCAGAACATTTAGTACCTCAACAAGAAAATGAAGGCGTCCAGGGTGCACACACACAAAAAGATGTATGTATAGTTCAGACCCCAAAAGTCTGATTTTTCTTCCTTGGAACACTAAAATTATGTTTCTGTTTTCTGAAGGTCAATAACATCCTGGTACGTGAAGTTACTATCTACGAAACAAATGAACATAGTCAATAGGCACGAGAGCTTCTTGAGTGGTTAGAAGAGTCCTTTTATTGCAACCAATCAAACTATAAGTACCAACCCATTTATTAACTGTGACCTTGAAAAAGTAAATAAATGTGCTTCCATTCCTTCATCTGAAGACAGATATAAAAATAGCACCTACCCTCCCAGATATTATAAGGACTGGATGCCAATGAGGGTAATGTATGTGATACTGGCACAGGACACCCAGTTTCAGCCAGTATCAATTGTTATTTCGTGTTTTTTTGTACAATGGAGGCCAATGGCTCAAACTTTAATATGCAGCAGAATCACCTAAAGTTCTTCTAAAATACAGATTATTGGGTCCCACCTGCCAATTTGGGGCTTGGGTGGAGCCTGAGAATTTGTATTTCTAAGACTCTGAGGACCACTAATCTTGCCAGTGGCATTTTCCTTCCATGAGTCTTTTCCCCCTCTTCTCCGCAGCTCCTGAAACCACTGGCCTGTCTGGAAGCTGGTGTACTCACAAACGGGAACTCCTGTAGAAAAGTAAAGGTCAACGTCTGCATCCTATGCCCAGCCTCTCAACTGACCCATTTAATTTAATGTGGACAAGTCTCTTCAATCTAATATGAGACCAAAATTATTTTTTTTTCATTAGGTTTCCAGGTGCCTCACCTTTACGACTTAAGGAACATCTGCAAATCACAATGGTTTTCTACTCTTTCAACTGTTCTGGCACTTCTCTACCATCCATCCTGTCCAACCTGGCACTAAACTGCCTGCTGCCTTGGCAATCCCTCTTCTGTATGCATCTTGTTTCCCCAGTGAGACTGAGAGCTCCTCACATACAGCTGCTGGGTCTTCAGCATTTTCTATAGTAATCAATAAGTAAATGCTTTTAGGTTTACGAAAAAACAATGAACTAATAATGCCCTAGCTGATTTGGCTCAGTGGTAGAGCATCGGCCTGCGGACCGGTTTCAATTCCAGTCAAGGGCACATATCCGGTTGGCAGGCTCAATCCTCAGTAGGGGGCATGCAGGAGGCAGCCAATCAATGATTCTCATCATTGATATTCCCATCTCTCTCTCCCTTTTCCTTCCTATTTGAAATTGTTAATTAATGATATGCTAATTAACAATTATACAATAAATATATAAAATTGTGTGCTAATTAGGTTAGCTCTGTTCTAATCATCTTTTTTAAAAACATATTTTATTGATCTTTTACAGAGAGGAAGAGAGAGGGATAGAGAGCTAGAAACATCGATGAGAGAGAAACAACCAGCTGCCTCCTACACACAACCCCACCGGAAATGTGCCCGCAACCAGTGTACATGCCCCCTTGACCGGAATTGAACCTGGGACCTTTCAGTCCACAGACCGACACTCTATCCGCAGAGCCAAACCAGTTTCGGCTGTTCTAAGCATCTAACATGGACAACCTCAGTTAATCCTCATAACATCTTTATATGATTAAGGTGGTATCATTTACCCGTTTTGCAGATAAGAGAACTGAGGCTCAGAGGAATAAATAACTTCCCAGAAGAACACACAGCTAGAAAATGGCTGAGTTGGAATTTAAATCTAGGTAGTCTGGCTCTAGAGCGCTTAACAATGATGCTATACTGCCTCTCAAAAGACTCAAGAACTGACATACTACAGCAGAATGCCAGTACATAGGAGGATAAAACCTTATAGATTTCTTGGGGGAGGAGAGACAAACAAGAAAAGGAGGAAGAGAAGGAGAAGAAGGAGGAAGAGGAGGAAAGCCCACCTAAATCAGCAGATTCACCCAACTGAGCCTAGCCTCGATTGGATGAACTCTACAGAGATATAAAAATAAATGTCTATTCTTATATGAAGTTTCTGTGGTTATTTATCAAACAGCAGTGGCTAAAAGATACAATATCTGATTCACTAGGAATACCTATTGCGAGACAAAAGTGGACATAAACACTAAGCTCAAAAATGTAGGATGGGCCAATTAAAATGCAACTTATCCAAATTAGGCAATTATAAAGTAATATTAATCAGCATAGTATACATAACATACTTTCCCCCCCCCACTAGAAATTCTAGTAAAAGCAAAGAAAAATGCCAAAGGAAAATTCTGAGACAGCATTTTCATTCCTGCCGACCACAGGAAACAACCACAGGAAACCGTCTTCGGGGAAACCGCTGATTGAAAGCCTGGCTTTCACACCTCTGTGCCCTAAGCCGGGAAACCAATAAGCTCGCTTTCTCTGACAGATGGCTTCTCCCACCTGGCACACCCCACTGTGGCAGAGACCACTGCTACCCTGTTTCCCCGAAAATAAGATAGTGTCTTATATTAATTCTTTTTCCCAAAGTTGCGCTAGGTCTTATTTTCGAAGAATGTCTTATTTTCGGGGAAACACAGAAGCTAGGAAGCTGGCTCTAAAGTTTCCAATATTCAGATAAGAAGACTGAAGTAATTAAGGATTTTTAAAACTTTGCCAGACATGGTGGCCACGAGTGAAATTCCAGTATAGTAAAAGATGTCAGCATCAAATTCCAAAGCCATCTGGAGCCTTGAAAAAACTATCAGCAAGTCTACATGCCTAAAAAGCATCCCAAAAGTTTATAAATTAGACCTGGGGTACAAAACACTCTTTACTTAAAAAAAAAAATAGTCATTTTCTTTTCATTTCTTATCGTTTTATTCTTATTTGCTTAAGAGAATTACTCTTTCTTAACTCTAGGTCAATAAGAATCTTATGTGGATAGAGATCCCAGGCTTGGGTCTAAATGAGAAGTTGCATTTTGAATGAAAAATGCAAGATCTGAAAGAGTTTTGAGTTGAGACCCTTATGATCTTCTGGTGTTTCTATGAAGCCTTCTGAACAGTGCCAGAGTGGGGTGGGGCAGCTTCATGCATGTAACTACAACCATGATGGGGTGGCCTAAACCAGAGCCAGACTTGTTCCCACACTACAACCTTTCATGGCCACGGAGACACTGCCCAAGTGTAAATCCCATCACAGTGCACCCAGTGACTCTGGTTATAACAAATAGAGTGCGAAATCACACTATAAAGCATCATTTAATGTATCAGTGGGATGAAGAGGTGCTTTGAACTCAGGAGGGAAAAAAGAAAGGTCTGTACATTCTCCCATTTCGTGGGTTACTACTACCTTTGGATTATTTGAGGGAAACAGGAAAGGGGGAGGGAGGAGGAAAATGTAATCACTATTGATTGGCAAGGTGAAAACTCCACTCCTCCCTTATTGTCACTAATTCCACTGGCAAACCAGTCAGGACCACCCAGGGCAACTAGAAAAATGCACTACCACCGTACCTGGGGTTATATGGGAATGACCACAGGAAAAACCCAGGGAGGCCAGGCTGAGAAAGCTCTGGTCTTTGCCAGAAGGCCCAGCATCAGGGCTTGGGCAACTTCTTCATCAATAGCTTAGATCGTTTGCCACCAAAGTAGTTGGAATAAGGGATGGGGATGAAAGCATCTACTTACAGGCTCCACGAACTCAAACATCTTCCTCTCTTGGACTTCCTGAACCTTGAAGACATACTCCAGAGATACTTCATAGAAATGCTGCCGGACCAGGTCCACTTGACTGTCTGCCTACAAATAGGGTGGAATTTCGGAGAAAAATCAAGTCACCTCCTAAGGAGAACATTCAACGAGCAGGCCAGAAAAATCTCTGAGGATAGCTTTTAAAAACAAATCAAACAGAAATAAGAATAATGGTAATGGTTAGCTGAGCACTTAACTTTGTGCCACGCGCTGTGCCCATACCTATACATATGTTACCTTATTCAAACCTCATTAATTATAGTTATTTAATACTCATGAAATTCCTAAAAAGAAGATGTTATCTTTACCTCTAATTTACAAGAGGAAAATGAAGTACAGGGCATAGCTGGGACTTCTGTCCTGGTTAATGTGCCTCCAAGGCTCTTGATTGTCTTTGAACCACTAGACAGTACTGCCTCCCTACACTGACTTCCCTGCTGTCCTCTCGGCCAACTGAGACTGCAACTGTGAAAAGGGTCATTCTGACAATCGGCAAAGTGCCTCCTGCAGTCAGGCAGGATGAAGGAGCCAGAAGAAAAGTCCTCTGAGAAAAACAGCAGTGCCCAGCATCAGGCCGAGAACTGGCAGAGCAAACGCCTGGGTTGGAGCTGCAGCTCTAACCTTGTCTATCCTTGTCTAGCTGGTGAGACCAGGTCAAGTCCGTGGCTCTCCGGGTCTTTTCCCCACACCGGGAGGGTGGAAATGAAAATATCTGCCCTTGCTCTGAGCAGAGCCATTTCAAAGATAAAATGAGCTAAAGGATGCAAACCATTTGAAAACCAGGAAGGAGTTCTGTTACGGTATTATCAGCAGGGACATCAGAATAGATGGGTTTCTATCCCTGCTCCTACCCTAAACCAGCCACATGATGTCAAGCAGTTACATTCCTCTCCTAACTGCTCTCCCTGCTTTCATTCTCAATCCTTCCCTCCCCTTCCAATCCAGAATACCTTCCCTAAAATCAATGCCTTCCTCTAGCCTCCACCATGGTCTGCAAGTGTGACCAGTGTGACCTGCCCACTCGTCCCACTTCACCTCCTCCCACCCCAACGCACCCTAACTGTGCTCCAGCCACTCTGGGCTCCTCGCTGTCCTCCAGCACTCCAAATCTCTGTCTTGTCTCAAAACTTTTGCACTTGGTATCCCTTCTGCCTGAAAAGCTCTTCCCCTAGATAAATATCCTTTTTTTTTTTAAACTACAGTACACAATAAGAAATACCTTTGGCATTATAGCTAATAAATACCTATAATAATAAAAGCTAATATGGTCTAATATGCTAATTAGACCAGACATCCTTCCAGATGACCTTCCAGACAAACCCAGGCTACAAGAGAAGCCCGGGTCCCAGGTGCCTACTGGCAGCCAGAGGGAAGCCCAGGTCCCGGGTGCCAGAGAGAAGCCAGTGCCAGCAGCCAGGGGAAGGAAGGCCTACTCTTGTACAAATTTCATGTATAGTGCCTCAAGTACATTTATAATTAAATACAAAATACTTCCATATTTTTCATTCTGTCCCAGCCTACTCTACTCTATTTTATGACCCAGTCATTCAGGTTCCATAATTATGGACCATTACCCCAACTTTTCTCTTAGCTCACTCCTTCTCATCCTTCTGGTCTCCATTCAAGTGTTACCTATGCAGAGCAGCCTTTGTTGAGGACATTATTTTAGATGGGTTCCTCAGGGAGCCTCCATCTTCTCTCCCACTTTATTTCCTTATTACTATGTAACATTATTATTTATTCCTCTTTCCTTGTGTACTACTGATTACTGGAATATAAAGTCATAAGAGCAAAGACCTTGTCTCATTTTTCTACTTTTCTGTCCTAGTCCTCTGAGGGTGCCTGACCCATAGTAAAGCATTTAGCAGACACTCGAGGAATGACTGAATTGATCTCTATGTGGCCCTCAGGACCCCACTCTCAGAACAGACAGATAACTGAATGTGATTCCAAAGGAAAAGGAAGAAAAATCCTAAATGGAATGGTATTTGTTTCCTGCCAATGCCCCCACTCATCTGAGCCAAAGAATTCACCACATCCTTAGCTCCCCCTGCAATGGAATCATAAGCCAGAATTCCATCCCACCCAGCAAGCCACTCAAGACTTCCCTGCTGCTTGAGAAACTAAATCTACCAGTTTGTCTGAGACCCACCAAACCATTCTGTGCTTCCTGGAAAAGAGACATTCTCCTAAAAGGTAAGTTCCATGAAGGCAGGCCGCAAATTTCAACCCCACAATATACCCAACACCTGAACAGACTTTTTCACAGAAGTGTGCAATGAATATCTATTGAACAAATATTGTCTTTGAAGTAGCTTCTGACCACTAGATGGCAGCAGTGTCATTCCACATTGCTGACCAGGGCTAGGGATGGGCTAGCATTTATAAGTATCGGTTTCAGAGCCTTGTAATCAGGGAACAGTTCTGGATAATCAAATGTGTATTGGGAGTTTAATAATGATCCTAAAAATTGATTTTTTAAAATAAACATTTAGTATCACTAAATAGCTGGAAGACCTTGAGCAAACCACTTGACAAACCACAAGAAGCTCAGTTCCTTCAAAGGTAAGCTCAGGAGGCTCAACCAGATGACCACCAAGGTCCCTCCATCTGGCCATTTCTAGATGCTTGACACATATTAATGACCATGGCAGGAAGGCAGCAGAGCACCATCCCTCTCTCCTAAGACAGAGAGAGATGCAGAAGAGTTTACTGGGTTAAGGTAAAGGACTCCACAGTCAGGAGCCAGGGTTCAAATCCTCGCTGACCAACTAAGGGCAGACTAGTAAACATCTCACCGCCTCCATTTTGTTACATGTAAAATAATGGGAATAAATCTGTACCACATAGGGTGGCTGTGAGGAGTTGAAAAGAGTCCATGTAAAATGCTCAACACAGTACCTGATACATGAATATGCATTCAACATTTGCCTTGGTCAGGGCTCACAAGAAAGATCTTTAGCTCACCCCTTGCCCTCAGTTTACTCAGGAGGTATGAAAGGGTAACAGACAAGAACACAAACAACAGTAACAAAGAGCATAATGAAAAAATATCCATGAAGATATATATTGGCAAAGCCTGTGCTACAGACTGAGTGCTGGTGCCCTTCCCCATCAATTCATATGTTTCATATGTTAAACCTAATCCCAATGTGATGGCATCTGGAGGTGGAGCTTTTAGGGTGACTACGTCATGTGGTGAAGTCCTCATGAATGAGATTACTGCCCTTAAAAAAGAGACCTGGAGCTGAAATCAGTTAGGTTAGGTTCAGTGGACAGAGCGTCGGCCTGCGGACTGAAGGGTCCCAAGTTCGATTCCGGTCAAGGGCACATCCCTGGTGGGGGAGTGTGCAGGAGGCAACTGGTCCATGTTTCTCTCTCATTGATGTTTCCAAGTCTCTATCCCTCTCCCTTCCTCTCTGTAAAAAATCAATAATTTTTTTTTTTTTTTTAAAGAGAGACCTGGAGAACTCCCTTACCCCTTCGTACCATGTAAGGCCATAGCAGGAAAACAGCTTTCTGTAAACCAGGAAGCAGGCCTCCCAGACACCAAATCTGCCAGAACCATAATCTTGGACTTCCCAACCTCCCGAATGGAGAAAAACAAATTTATGTTGCTTAAAAGCCATCCAGGCCATGGTATTCTGTTATAGCAGCTCTAACAGATGAGGGCAGACAAGTGGAGCACCATCCAGCCCTAACCAGTGTGACTCAGTTGGTTGGAGGGTCATCCCATGCACCAGAAGGTTGAAGGTTCAATTCCAGGTCAGGGCACATACCTAGGTTGCAGGTTTCAATCCCTAGTCAGGGAGCATAAAGGAGGCAATTGATCAATGTATCTCTACCCTCAACCTCGCTCCTTCTTCCTTCTCTAAAATCAATTTTTAAAAAAATTTTAAAAAGAAATTAGCATTCAATTTGGGAAAGGGGGATGAAAAACAGGTCAGTCATAGGGATAATTCTCTTATTTGTGTAGCAGCTATAATTTGTCTTCTCATGCATGAAGTAGGCAGGATAGGTATTTTATGAGTATTTTACAAAGGGACTACAGCTCAGAGAGATGAGTACTTATTCCAGGACAAAACCTAAGTGGAACTATATATTTATCCTGTATAATCACTTATCTAGGGTCGTGGCCAGCAAACTATGGCTCATGAGCCACATGCAGCTCTTTAGCCCTTTGTGGAAGAACCCCAGGCTCTTCCACAAAATACCACGGCCTGGGCGAGTCTATTTTAAAGAAGTGATGTTAGAAGAAGTTTAAGTTTAAAAAATTTGGCTCTCAAAATTTTTTTTCAATCATTGTACTGTTGATATTTGGCTCTGTTGACTAATGAATGAGTTTGCCGACCACTGTCTTAAGGTAAAAGTGTCCATATCCCCACGTGGAGTTGTGAATAGCATTTATATAACATGCAATGAAAATAAGCATTTCTTTAGCTTTCTCTGTCAAATAGATGTGCTATTTAAGAATTACCTCCTCACCCTAACCTGTTTGGCTCAGTGGATAGAGCGTCGGCGTGCAGACTGAAAGGTCCCAGGTTCGATTCTGGTCAAGGGCATGTACGTTGGTTGTGGGCACATTTCCAGTATGGGGTGTGCAAGAGGCAGCTGATTTTGTACAGGAGGCAGCTGATCAATGTTTCTCTCTCATCGATGTTTCTATCTCTCTATCCCTCTCCCTTCCTCTCTGTAAAAAAAATAAATAAATAAAAAATAAATAAATAAAGAAAGAATCACCTCCTCATTCATTTGCTTTTACAGTTTGCAACAATTAGTTGCTATTGGTTGGTTGGCCAGAACTGGTCTTCAAAGTCTACTATAAACACCAGTGGCTGGAGACGGTGCTGAGTTTTCATTGTCATTCAAACAATTGGTTTAAATACCCAAGCAAGGAGTCCTGCAAACCACACATTCCTAACCAAGGATGTCTAACAAATCCTGGTTGGGAGTGGATCAGACTCCAGTGTCTCCTGAGTTGTCTTCGTCTTTCAACTTTTGACCCTACCATCTTCATATAAACTTTCACTTCAAAAAAGTACTGGCATGCTATTTACTAAAAAAAAAAATAAAATAAATAAAATAAAATAAAATAAAGGAAATTTAAGAAAGAGGGCTAACTTGAAAACCATAGCTACTCTTTAGGTTACTTGAGAAGGGTCAGCAAATTGTTAAGAGTTAAATAAAATGACATTCATATAGCCAGATTTGGAGTTTCACTATGACTATATCCCAGAAATGCAAACTCCCCTGCCACGTAAACCTCCATGAACAAAATAAACATGGTCACTGTGCCAGGGCTGCAAAGTGACTTTTCTTTCCAAGTCAACTATTTTTTTAAAAGACCCCATGCGAATCCAAAAATTCTAGGGGCAGGTCAGAGAACTGACTTTTTTCAAACAAGGTTACCAAACCACAAACCAAACGAGTAGTAATAAAGAAGTGCTAGAAAGAAAGAAAATATAAAAGAAAGAAAGGAAGGAAGGAAGGAAGGAAGGAAGGAAGGAAGGAAGGAAGGAAGGAAGGAAGGAAGGAAGGAAGGAAAGAAGGAAGGACGGACAAAAGAAAAGACTAATGTCAAGTACTCATTGAAATAGATTTTTTTAAATTAATATTAATATTATGGAAGGATGACCAAAGCAATTCAGATGCTAACATTTCAAATCACTAATATAAGGCAGAAAGTCAAAGGTGACATAATATAGAATCAAGGTCAAGGGGGAAACAAGAAAGAGACTTCAGTTTAAGGCAGAAGCACATTCTAGTGAGTAGAGCTCCCCAACAGGGAAGAGGGTGATCTTGACCAGCAGCATGTTCCTCTGGCCCTGACAGGCTGGACAGCCACCAAGGGAGTGGGTGGGTGGGATGATGTAAAGGCCAACCAGGCATCGGTTTCTGAGGTCTCTTCCAAACCTAGGACTTTCTGGAAAAAAGTAACCAGTACATATCCACAGCACCATGTAAAATTAAACAGTTTATTCAGAATATTAGTACAATTTCTTACCTCCTGAAGCTGAGATTCTTTCTTTTTGGAAGACAAATTCAAGTGTTTTTCTAAGATTCCACAATACTTCTCTGTCTCCTTGTCATACTTCTTTTTGGCTTCCTGGTAGAAAGAGAAAAAGATTAAAATGTTGCATGAATAAAAGCAAGCTGGGTCAATCTTTCTGCTCATCTTCATGGCTTCATTATTCCCTCAGACACATAACAGCAGACAACCGTGCTCCTCCTCTTCAAATAGTACCCATTAACTCAAGCAACCGCCCATCAACAGCCTGACAGCTTTGAGTGTCTATCATTGAGGCACCACCACAGTGCCAGAAACAAGGTAAACACCAGTATTTCATAGAGACAAAGCCAGGACTCCACGGTCTAAGAACTTCAATTGTGAAACAGAAATTTCTAGTTTCTAACTCACAAGGAGGTTCAAAGCCAAATGAAGGAGGGAAGTTACCTATAAAGATAATCTCAAAGTAGAAGATCTACTTACAGCTTAAATGGGACAAGTCTAGACTGACGGAGATCCAGCTTTAATAGTGTTCAAAAAGTACTTATTTTAGAGACCCAAATATCCCTTGATGCAATAATATCACAATCAGGTCTGTATGCTAAGGAATAAGCCAAAACCAAGAAGGTGTTATCTCCACAAATGTGTCCACTTCAGCATCATTAATCACAGGGAGGGGGGGGGGGGGGGAGAGAGGAACAGTAGCAGTAACATTGCTGCCCAAGGTTAGGATTTGCTATAATTCAAGTATAGAACATCCAACCTATACAATTGGGAAGGAGAGGCAGTAATATGGAAAATTTCTCACCACAGAATGAAAATTAATAATAGCATGATATAAATTTGGTACATCCTATATTGAGTATATATATAGAGAGACAAAGATTAGATGGAAAGATACCACTAGATGGGATAATACTTGAGTTAAGGCAATGGGATAATGTGTGCTTTTGGCCCTCCATTTAGTATATTTTTATTGTCTATATTAATTGCTTTTAAAATAAAAAATAATATAAATATCTTAATACACAAGGATCCCTGCTATCCCACTATATCCTTGAGTCAGTGAGGTTCTATATTTATCTCCCATTTACAGACGAGAAAAACTTAGACCCAGGGACTTGTAACAAGCTGCAGAGAGTGACAGAGCTGGGATTCAAGCCCAGGACAAGCTGCCTCCAAAGCCCACATCTCAACCACATTTGAGACACACTGCCACAGGTGTCTCCTCCTTCTGTGTCCCACTCACTGGGGATGGGTGGGAAAGGGGGCAGGAGAAGGCTGGCACCGGCCTGCTAACCAGGATCAAATTTACTAACTCAGTGCATTACTCCTGTTTTTGACATATGTGGAGCCCACAGAGGATTTTTCTGCAATTCTAAGGCCTCTAACAGATGAAAAATTTTCGCAGCCAAATAAGAAAACTCAGAGACCTCTTTATTCATTTAATAACAATATAACAGGAAACCACTCTGTGTTGGGCTCTTTTAGGCATTGAAATACAAGACAGCAGCAGTCTCTATCCTCATGGTGAGGATGCTCCAGAAGAAACACAGCCACTGAACAAGTATACAGCATGATCCTGGACTGCCACAGTGCTGGGAAGGAACTAAACAGGGTTCAGTCACAGAGATTCTGCAGGTAGAGTGCTCAGGAGGGGCCCCAGTGCGGAGGGGTGGTAGAAGCTGAGACCTGCTGATACAGTGAAGGGCCAAGTGGAGGCTTCTAGAGCAGAAGAGCAGTAAGTGCTCGGGACAGAACACAGCCAAAGCGGCACAAAAATCACCAGAAGCCCCAACAAGCTCCTGTGATGTCAGACACCATTTATCTGGTGATCAACAAACCTCTAGGCCTCACAAAGGGAGCAGAATGATCATCTATTCACTTTTAGCTGACACGTACCCATTTTTACAAATCTGAATTGTGCTTAAAAGAAAATTGAAACATGCAGAAGCAAATGAAGAAAGGCCCGAGGAGACATTACTCCTTCAAATGTGAGAGTTACAGGCAAGACACTGACTCAAGCAACTCTTTTCCTTCTTAGAAACCAGTGACTGAGCTGCAGCTCCCTGTCCGGGTTAATGCCCACTTAGCCACTCCACCAGCCCTGCCAGATCTCCCAGACGGGAGATCCCTGTGCCAGGATAGTGCAGTAACCAGAGGTGAGAAAAGGCTGGGAACATGAGTCACTGGAATCCCGTGACTTTCTGGCAACCTGAGCCTCCACATTCCATGTCCAAGAGGACAGCCAAAGCGAAAGAGAAAGAGACGCGGTGCTGTCCAAGCCGCAACAAGACCTCTGGGGAAATTAACACTAAGATTTACGTAATGCTCTTAAGATGGGAGAGTGGTATTACTCAGTTACTCAGGGACAAGACGGCATTCACCTTCCAGGGCATCCATGGCAGTGGCTAAGGGGATGAAGGACAGAGTAGGATCCTACAGTCCCAGCTCTGTATGAACGGACTCTAAACAAACCACTGCCACAAACCACTGCCCCTTCGCAGAACATAGTATATTAGATATTATCTGTACACTGAGGGTGACTACATGAGCTAATTCCTCAAGTTCCTTGTTTAGCTCAAAAACTAGCCAATAAAATAAGGATAAGGACACCCACCTCCTCATCAGATTGTTAGGACTAAATGAGATAAACCGTGTACAATGCTTAGCAGGGTACCAGGCACATGCAAAGTGAGTACTAAATGTCAGTGTTGCTGACAAAGATGCTGCAGTGGTGGTGATGGCAATGGTGAGGTCCAGCATCTAAACCTACCTCCTTCTTATGGGGAACGCTACCTGCTTTCCATGTCCCAGGAGGGTAACCCTTCATAGCACACTTGGAGGCTGCTTACTTATATCTCTGTGCCTGGTGTCCTTCTCCCCAGGCACACCACAAGCACAGAACCATGCCTGTGCTTCTTCTCTACCAGACGCCAGTGTATAGTGCAGGGCCAGGCACAGAGCAGGCTTTCTCTCATTTCTTTAATGAATCAACTGTGTATATGGAATATAATAACTAACATCAATAACTATGTGACATACCCTGTTCTAAGACTTTATATGAGTTCCCACTTTTCTCCTTGTAATAACTCTGTGAGGTAAGTACTATTGTAATAGCTCAAGACACGGGCATAGAGCAGTAACCTCCTCAAGTTTACATACAAATAGCAGAATGAGAGTTGGACTCAAGCAACCTAGCTTGAGTGTCCACACCTAACCAGTGTTCACCAATGCCTACGCTGCTTTCACTGGCGAGCACAGGTAGGGCTGCAGGGAAAATAAGCTCCCCCAAACTCAGATCTCTAAATGTCGTAGGGCCGTGGTCACACGGAGCTGCAAGGTGGCACCTACCTGAGAAGCCACACTGGCACAAGAAAGCCCAGGAGCCCACCTCCCTAGCAGCCTTCGCACCCCACAATCCAACTGCAATGTCTTGCAAGTAGCAACAGCTTGTTACAGCATCAGAAGCAGCACCAGAGGGGACAAGAGGAGAAGGGGTAGTTTTAACATCACACAGGCAGAGTTCAGAAACTTGAACTTAGCCACTCAACAGCCTTCGCTAGATCTTAACTGTTCTTAAACCTGCTCCCTAGATCGCCTGGTACAGGGTTTGTTGTTTCTTGGCTGTCTCTGAAATGCATGGAGGGGTTGAGAGGAACAGGCATACTGAAAGAAAGAAATGACACAGGAGGAGCGATGAGCAACAATCCTCAACATCATCACATCATTCTTCAGCAGGAATGAGAGAACAGAATGTGTATGCGCAGAAACGTGTTTTGGTGAGCAGCCATTTTTCTTAAAATCTTAAATTCTCGTATTTCTCACCATTAAAGCCCCCGCCCTCACCACCCAACCTGGAAAAGTACCTGATCCTGTCATTCTGAGCAATGCTATTAACCCAAGCGGAGCTCCACACAGGCTTCCGCTCCTCCCCCGTGCTAACGGATAACCTTCAAACCAGCGCCGAGGGGGGAGAGGCCAGAGTGAGAGGCGTCTGTGCTCAGAGCGAGAAGTGACTATTGGAAAGATGACTCAGTGCACAGGTCCGCTCTGCCTCCGCCGCAAAGCTCTTCAGAGCCTCCGGAGCCGCTGCCACGTGTTTTCAGGAGGGGGAGGCACAGGCCCCAAAGACACTAAAGAGAAGTTGCTCACGGGGCCTGCGTCAGCGAGGACATGGGAGGAACACTCCCCAGGAACACTGGGTTTGCTCAACGTCTTGGACAAAATCCTAATGAAACAGACATCCCCTTTAAGTTAGACATTCCTTAATCTCTGATACAAAACCAATAACCTCCAATTTCTTCATAAATGTAAACTGTAAAGTTGGTAGAAAAGTGCTGTAGAATTGGGAGAAAAATATTTGCCGTGGTTCCTCCTTCAAAGAATGACCAAACTGAGCATCATCTCAGGCCTTGATATATTCATTTTTAGGAAGCAGATTTGAGGTTGAGGAAAGGGGGAGAAGACCCCACTTCTTACATTTCAGCTATTTCCCACCTACAGACACTTCTCAAGACCATTTGACAACTGAGTCACATCCATAAAACAGGTCAGAGTGCGACACTGCCCAAACCACCCTGCAGGTGGCGCAAGGGACTGCGGCTAAAGGACACAGTTTGGAAAAGCAAGAATCTGGGAAAATCTTCCTACTTTCATTGATTCCAATGAAAACATCTTCCCTGCAGGTGGTCTCTAACACTCTACTGAAGGTCAAACTAGCTATGGCTTCTAGTGATTTCTCACAGGGCGGGGAACCTGGGAGAATCCACCTCTTAAAAATGAACAAGATTCCCTTTGTGGTCTTTCAGTAACGCAACAGAGTCAGCCAAGTGTGGGCTACAGTCCCACCAAGACAGTGACAACAAATGGTGGCCTCTGAGCTATAGCAGTCCCACTTTTTGACCTGCACAATGTGTAATATATATTTTTAATTATTTGCCGACATTTTTTTTTTTGGAAACCAGGCTTATTTCATATAAAACTCTGATTTTTCAGTTTCTCTTGAAATTTTTTAAGGTCTAGAAAGAGAACTCACTTGCACACACAGCCAAAGTAAGCGAAGAACAGCGTGCCACAACCACAGGGCCCAATCTGTCACCCATGTTCCAGGCTCCGAGTCCTGGACCTCACAATAAATACAATTCTCCGCTGTCCAAGTACTCGGTATCAAGCTGCTAACACAGAGGAGGCATGGTTTCTACCTTTGGACAATTTATGAACTAGTGCAGGGTGATTAGATAACAAAATACTAGAATGATTGCTCTGGGGATGAGCACACAGGCTGTCTTCAGACACTTGTGAAGAACTAGGTTCCAGGCTTATCTGCCCAAGATTTTCTGAAGAAGGTGTGTTTTCCCAGACCTCCTGCCCTAAAATCCAAGAAGGAGAATTGGAAATGTCTCACCTTGGCAGCCCCAATCTGCTCCTTCCGAAACTTCTCCAAAGGTGTAATGAGCACGTCACTGGCATTCTCAATCTGATGAGGACAGAGGGGAGTGAGGGGATGGGAGGGGACACAAGAGCATAATCAGTAAAGAATCAGAGCAGTTCTGGCACAAAATGCCTCCATGTCTCCACCTAAAATTTGGGTGAGCAACACCATGCACGTGGTAACTGTTCACAATACTTGAAACTGACAGCATGTCAAGTCAAAGTCTAGTCATCAGTTCAAAACATGGTGTTATTCCCAGGCAGGATTAAAATGGATTGTTTAGAAAGAAAAATTAGGACCTCTAAACATGTAAGCAACCAACTGAAGGTGGAGGGAAACTAGTGACAAGGAAGGATCTAAATTTCAAGCTTCCAATGACATCTTGGAAATGCTTATTCACCCAAGTTATATTTAAACAGATATATTTAAAGCAGATCAACACTGAGTCTGGATTATAAACAAATAGAGCACCTGATATCTGGTGGCATGAAACCCTGCCAGCCGGACTTTGCATAGACCTATACCATCACTGGACTATGATCAGAATGCTTGTAGTGTCTACTGGTCCCTGGCTGCCTCTCAATTTCATCTCACAGCCTACCCTCCTCAGGTCCTGCACTCCAACTATACCATCACTGGAAGGTACCTCAAATGTAGCAAACCCCTGTCCCACTTCTAGCCTTTGCATTTTGCTCTTAACTCAGATGCTCTATCCTTAAATCCCCATGAGGACAATCAATTTTTATCCTGCCTGGGAATAACACCATGTTTTGAACTGATGACTAGACTTTGACTTGACATGCTGTCAGTTTCAAGTACTGCAATTCAAGTTTCAGTCCCAAAGTCACGTCTTTAGGGAGACTTTCCATGACCACCAATAGAATCCAAAGAAACTTCCCAACAGCCCACCAAGGGTTTTCTTTAGAAGGCAAAAGCCAGCTAAAATTTTCTGTTCACCACTACACAACACACACACACACACTCACACACAGAGGAACGAACACATGCATATACATACACACCCTCATGTAAATGCTCACTTATCCATCACAATCCCCAAAACACAGAAGAATCCTAAAACAAAGGAACACTCAAATATGTTTCAATGGCTCAATGAATGAATTAATGATTTCTTGATTGGCTGCCAACTACATGACCATGGACAAAACATTTAACCTCTTTGGGCTCCAATTTCCTCGCCTACAAATAATTGGGCTTGATTGTTCCAGCTCTAAGATTCCATGGTCTTTTCTAAATCAGTACAATATTTCATAATTTTCCCTCTTAAGTCATTCACTGCTTATTCGTTGCTCAACTAATTATTTCAAGAATCTCATTGGAACAAAGCTTTATTTTTCTAAATCACATGCATATCCATTGCAATGAAACCAACAGAGCACATACCAGAAGCACACATGGACACAGAGAGACCTAACTGAACAAAGTGAAAGATAGAAGGTGGCAGATCTCCAAATTTATTGCCATTTGCCTTTTTCTCAATTTTGAGGCCACTTGTTTTAATAGAGAGCAATGCTAGAATTGTTCAGTGTCATTTAACTTGTTTGATTTTTATTGTTATTTGATGTGACTTAGTTGGCTCACCAGTTTAAGTCTTTTCCACAAATCAAGTATAAGTCCCTAAAGCCCACAATGGTGCCTGAGCCCCTAAGTCAGGGGTTCTCAGCTTCAGTTGCATATTAGGTTCACCTGGGGAGCTTTTAAATATTTCTACGTCCAGGCCACTCTTCAAACCAATTAAATCAAAACTCTTACTTTATCCTACGCATCAGTATGTCTTAAACTCAAGTTATTCGAAAGGGCATCCATGATTGACAATCCAGCCCTAAGTAAATGCTAAATATAGAAAAGCAGTAGCTGATCACCTGGGACTCAGGATGCCCAAGTCCTTGCCCCAGTCCTTCCATTGGGCCTTTGTAAGCCCTCAACTTTCTAATCTGTCCAATGAGGGACTGCAGAGGTGAAAAATAAGGTTCACCTGGGTCTATGATTCTATGATTGTGTAATTTTCACTCAGTTTCACGCACTGTATTAATAGCAGGAACACAGTAGCCCACTCTCTGTTCTTCAAGGACTCCTATTTACTATGGGACACATGCAATCATCAGAAAAATGTGCTAAATGCAGAATTAGAGGCATGAAGTAGATATTAAGAAAATACAAATATCCCAGAACATTAGGGAAGGCTTTCCAAAAAAGATGCAACTTTGCTAAACTGAGCTGAATTGGTGATTAGATTGTCATAGGGCGAGTAGGTAGGAAAGGGGCTTGCGATGGCCAAAGACTCAGATGCAGATAGCAGAAACTCGACTCACTGACATAAATAATAAAAGTGCAGAGGCAAGCTGAAAAATATAATAATCCAGTCATTGTTCCCTTGCTGCAGGCCATGGCAATCTGCGGGGTATTATCGTGATTTGCTCACCACACCACCCACCCCCAAATACTGGCTCGGCCAAGAATCAGACTCCAAAGAATCATTTCCCTTTCTCAGACACTAGCACGTGCACAAACACAGCTTTCCTGGCCTCCACCCACCAGCAACCCTGCTGCTGCTGCCACCCCCACCTGATTCTGGCTCAGGTGCCCAGCAATGAGCACTCAAGAAAAACAGTGTCAGAACAGCAGGGCAGAAGGTGAGAGAGGCTTCTGCTCTGTTTGGAGTTTTCAAAAAACTCCCACATTCTTCGGCCTAACACATGCTTGGGTTTGAATCTGGACTATGCCACTGTGTGACCCTGGGCATGTTGCATAACCTCTGTAAACCTCAACACCTTCATCCAGACAATAAGGACACAGGCACCACCTCCCAGAGTCATCATGAGGACTGAAATGGAAAACATATGGCTACATAATGTCTTGGTGGGTGCTAAGGACTAACTTGCATTCCTGTTCCATCCTCATCCCAATTCATGTATTGAAGCCCTTACCCCGGCAAATTAATTAAACAAGTGGTCATTGGACCAACATGGCTCTAATGCTTAGTGGCCTACATCAGCAACCCAAAACCTAAGCCTGTGAATACCTCAAGGTTAAGAAATCAATACCTAAGAATAAGTAATCACAAACAACCAGACTTGCCCAAATAAGGCAACCATTTAAGCGATAGCCAATTAAATAATTTGTTTCTGCATTTCTTTATAAACTCTTTCCCCAGGCTCCTGTAGCTAGAGCATTCCCACTACTTCCAGGCTGGTGCTAACCAATTTGAATTGATTTTTGCTCACATAAGCTCTTACAAATTTAATATGCTTTAGTTTATCTTTTAATACCCACTATGTGATAACACTTGAATATGGGGCCTCTTGGAAGATAACTAGGTCTTGAGGATGGAGTCCCTCTGATGGGATTAGTGCCCTTATAAAAAGAGACCAGAGAGCATCCCCGCCCTTTCTCTGCCCTGTGAGGAATCAATAGAAAGGCTGCCATCTGCAAGCCAGGAAGAGAGCCCTCACCCAGAACCATATCAGTCAGCCCCTGGATCTTGGATTTCCCATTCTCCAGAACTATGAGAAATAAATCTTTGCTGTTTAAGCAACCCAGTCTATGGTATTTTGGCAGCCCAAGCTGACCAAGACAGGAAATTTAGCGTCAAACTATTTCAGTTGTTAGCATGGGAAGAGAAGGAAAATGTTCATTAGTGGACTATTCCGCAGGCCTCTGGAGCACTACTTTCCAGAGAGAAGCCCTCCTGAGGACAAATCAGCATGCAGCCCGCAAGGGTTTCAAACCAGGCCTCAGATCTGATATCTTAGGGATATGATACCCTGTGGATATGGAATCCCTCAACCTATTAATGCTGAACCACATCAGAATAAATTCTAGTGCAAAAGAGATCTCTTAAGAGCCTGAAGGTCAGCCTTTGGTCCTTGAACTTCACAGTGCCTCTCTTTGAAGAACTTTTTAGAACTACCATCACTTCTAAGTTCCCATTTACTAGGTGCCTTCTACATGACAGGCACTGTGTTAGGAGCTCCAGAATTAGAAGTAAAGGAGTGACCCTGCCCTCCAAGACCTCTTGGATAAATTTAATAAGGGGGTATGGGGATTTGCAGAGTGGTTTCCCATTCTGCCAATAGAAAAATCTAAGTCCCCAAAGAGTTAAATCATTGTAAAGATATACCCGGAAGTCATATACCTTATATATACACATTATAGTGAATTTTTAGAAAGGCAAGGAAGTCATTCTCAAGTTATCCAAGTATATATATCCTATCTTTACAGAAGGCTTCAAACCCTGCAAAGATGAGAAGGCTTTCCCAAGAGCTCAAGGCACAGAAGTAGCAGAGCCTTAACCGAAACTCAGTTCTTCTGATAACAAATTCTATGCTTCCTACATGTCACCACACTATCTAGAACCAAGAGTAGCCCAGCAATACTCACCATCCGTATCCGTTCATCTTCAAGATTCCTGAGAACACTGGCAAACTCCTGCAAAGATCTTGCTGGAAAAGAGAAAGGGGCCGTGAGATGGAAGTTGACTAATGGACCTTCGGGAGCCTTTCCAGATACACCTATCATGTTATGGACTAAAGTCCCTTGGCATAAGCAGAAGCCTAAAATCAATTGTTTTCCAAGGCTCCCCTTATCTTTTCATCATTAACCATTAAGGATGCCCCAGAAATGCATGTTAATGCCCCCTGGCACTTCAGCTAGGGAAGGATTTCCTTCAAGGAAAAGACTGGCCAGTTCCTGAGAATACCCAGGACTGATGAGATGCTGGCTGGCTCCCAGACCCCAGGCAAGAAGGGGCAGAGTTCCGCTTAAGAGTTCAAGGATTTCCTGTCCAGGATTCGACCTCCTCAACCTTTGTTGTGGGCCTGCGTCAGAACACAACCTTTTCTTTGGCATTAGAACTAAACAAACAGTGCTGCCGCCACTGGAAGCCACATCCCTGGCTTCTCCTTGGGTTCCTCCTGCATCCCCAAGCCACTTATAAATGCAATACAGCTTGCAGCATGCTGGTCAGATGGGGAGAATCTCTTGTGCTACAATTACTCCCAAAGGCAACAGGCATGAAGTGCAATAGCCCTGAGGATATGTGGAACATCTGTATAATGTTGGGGAAAGCATCCAAGCATTCAGGATTTACAACAATGATGGATTTTCACTGCTCTCAGATGTTTCCCAACTGCCTGTGCTCATCCCCAGATCCTGGTGCACGGCAAGGCAACAGGAACTCAATCAGCATTTGATGACTTAATTGATTCAATATAACATTCTCAATTCTTGCTCACTTCATGGAGTCAACCAAGATGCCAATGCAAGAAGAATAAAGTGCAACGACTAGGCCCTGGCAAAGAAAGGTGTTCCGGCATTGCAAATCCTCAGTGCCTGGTATTGCCTACAAAAGGCAGACAGGTGATGGTGAAGAGTGAAGCAGCACAATGAGGTGATACATGGTAACCCCACCATCAGCTTCTTGTTAAAGAAACATAAGAGAGAGGTGGGGAGCATTGCGAACTACACATTGAGCGCCTCTCCCCATTTGAAGACAACAGAAGTTATATAGCTCCAGCCGACTGTAGCCAGGCAGAATGTGGGGCCAGATGATCAGATTCTCCAATGTTCAAAGAAGCTAGGGAATGGAAACTTCAGGATAAATTCAATCTATATGGTAATTCAATTAAATAAATGAGTGCCAAAGAAAATATGGCAGCATTCTGATCTCAACCCATGAGCTAGCATTTGAAACCTCTGATCTAATTCTTCCCTCATCCACCTGTGTTCTGCTTTTGCTCAAAGTTGTTAGCACTGTGGCTGTGGGGAAGAATGGCACAAGAGCAGCCAGAGCTGAACACTAAAGGGAGGGGAGAGGAAAGCCCCACTACAAACCTTCAAGCTTTCTCCTGCAGGCAGAGGGTGAGAGAGGCAATTCCAGAGCTCCAAGAAGCCCAGAATAGCCCCAATTCCTGATATTCATTCAACTCTATCCCCTCCACTGTAATTATAATTTATGACACTTAGATTCTTATCCCCAGAAAAAGGCTCAGCATGGACAATGAAAGTTGTGATAAACAGCACAGTTATGACTTACCTATACACATTTCATCATCTGTTTCTGCATCTCCTATGCACTGAAACTTAAATTCATTTAAGGAATCTGCAAATTTCCTCTTCGCTGAAGACAAATCTAATAAGAAAAAGAGTAAGAAATGTAAATTACTGACATGAACTGGCTTTCTTATTTGCTGCACTTTTTAGTCTTTCCAGTACTATAGCAACTAGCAGATATCTTCCTGAATCCATTTCAAAGCACAAAAGAACATACATTCAAAACAGTAAACATTTGTTTATAACATGACATGCTGATTTGCTTTAGAAGTTAGTATGTTTGTTGCATTTGCTTTAACAATTCTGGCCCTATTCCTAATTCCTCCAGCTCTACAGCAAGTCATCCTTCTCCATTTGACACAGGGGAAATCCACTTGCCTAGGAGGTCTGGGAGGAGGTGCGGCTTTAGCATCTACAGCCCTGCAGGTCGGCTCAGTCACTGAACCTCCACGTGGTCAGTGAAGCTACCCCATGCCAGACACAACACCTTCTCCTCATCCCATGGTCGGCAAACTACGGCTCACAAGCCATATGAGACACAAAATACCACGGCCTGGGCGAGTCTATTTTGAAGAAGTGGGGGTAGAAGTTTTAAAAAATTGGCTCGCAAAAGAAATTTCAATCTTTGTACTGTTGATATTTGGCTCTGTTGACTTATGAGTTTGCCGACCACTGCCCCAGTCCAGCTTATACCATAAACTGCTGGGACAAAGTGCTGAGAACTGCCCTGGCTCCATGGCACAGGAGGACCTGGACTTCCTCTTCCAATTCAAGTACACGTGAGGCCTGAGTTCTCAGAGCCCGCTTGAGGAGCAGAGGGGATGGCCAGCCTGACAAACATCTGCGGAACCATTTCCCTGGGTCACCACGCCCCGCCTATTGCCATGAGAACAAAGCCCTGGCAATGTTTGGGGTTGGAGTAACCCCACACATAGTATAACCCCACACGTGGTATCTATAAAGAAAGCTCTCGGAGGCCCTTGTCAAATGTAAACAATAAGCTTTCATTTAAGTCAGTAATAAAAGCCAATGATCCTTCTATGAACCCTCAACTTCTGCTAATGGCATAAAACCACCAAGGTACCTTACAGTGGCCTGACAGACACGGCTGCTCAGTACAAATGTGCTTAACTTAATTCCACGTGCAGCCTTCCTGCAGATTAGGCTAATCACTCAAATTACCCTGGTCCATGTTCCCCTCATTGAAGGGGAAATGGCATTATGTTCAAATTCCCAGAGGAGGGAAATATGAGGCATAACTGGCGGCAAGGCCTGGCTTTAATAAGATATTGGGATTGGGGGTGGGGAATTCTGGCTTCACAGATCAACAAAACCCACTGAAATAAAAGCACCCATATTCCTCAGCACTTCTCTTTTTTAGTTCCCAGATTTGGCCCTTGAGATTGGTGGTTAGGTTTTTTCCCATCTTTTGATTTTGCTTGGTTGTTTCCTCTCCAACATACCTGGCAGTGCTCTGGTTGTGCTGTTTAATATTGGGGTGGGGGGGGGGGTATGGAGGGAAGGGATGGAGGGGCTGTATACAAATCCAACCCCCAACATTCAGTTCATCAATCTAAGTGCTCATTCCAAGCTACCAGTGGAAGAGCCAGGCTGGGCCGGCCTACTCTCGGGTGTGCAGCTTGGGTACCACATTGGACACCAGCAGCTCCTGCTCCGAGACTGTCCTCTCAGCGGCTCAGATGGCACAGGTCCCGAGCTCGCTGTGGCTCGTGCAAAGTCCTCTGCTCTATACCAGCAAGGAAGGCACTCGGAGTGGAGAAGGAGAACAGGTAGATAACAGCCAACAGTCTCCCATCTCTCCTTGGTTCAGTCACTTTAATGGAATGGTCCTTTGGCAAAGAAGTCCAAAGATGCTGGCAGGAGAGTCAGGCATCTCTTAAAATTGGCCAACCCAGGCTGAGGAGATCTCCGAGAACATAAATCACTCCCTGGCAAGGAAAACTAGCTGAAAGTCAGAACCCTGTGCGAAGAAGGACAGAGTGGCCGCAGGCAGGCAGGATGAGAAAAGGGAACTATAACCTTTCAGAGTGGAAAACAAGGCCCTCCAGATCAGAACGCACACTAAAAATCCTCCTGCGCCTCCCACCAGTAGGGCAAGAAAGACTCAAGCTGGACAATCTTCTCATCAAAGTGGAAAAAAGGCGAAATGCAAGCCACGCTGGGGAAAGCTCCCAGCACGCACCTGAAGAGCAGGGCTGCCAGGGGCAGCTGCCAATGAGGATCAAGGAGTGGCTGGTTCTGCACAACGGGGCCTTTGTGGGGCCTTTCGCAGGAGGGCCAAGAGCAGGGCCTGTTAGCTTATGACCAGAAGGTAACCTTGATTTCATTGTCCGGGGCACACAGCACACCGGGCCACAGCACAAACCTGAGAAGCAAGGTGGGCCCCACAAAGCTGATAACGAGGCCGGTCCCCCTGATGGAAGATTAGGTAATGAGTATGGAGTCAATACTGGGCTGTAGGCCAGTGAGGACAGCTGGGTAGAATAAGAATCCCAATTATTGGAAACTGAAAGGGAACTCACCATGGGCTTGAATGACTCACGCTTCGGAGAGAAATATTTTTTAAAGGTGCAGTGGGCACCTGTTGTTTTGCTTGTTTGGCATCTGCTCCCCTGACTCTGGGACAGCATCTCATTGCTTTGAAGGACCTCCCTTCTCTACTTGCACATCACGGGGTTCTGATTAAATGCCGAACAATCCCTTCCCCAATCCCTAGCCCTCACCCCAACCTCCACTGTCTCCTGAGTTCAAGTTTCAACTACATCATGTACCAGATATGAAACTAACCCAGGATTACTCATAAAGTCTCAATCATTTCATCTGACAGTTGTCAGCCCTACCTTACCCACCGGCTGTCAGGAGATCCAGTGAGACACATTGTACTAGTATAAGCACTCTGTTCTGTAAGCTTGAGTTCTAGACAAAGCTGGACTTTTCTTCCCTGATATATAAATCCCACAATAACAGGATCCAGGGAAAGTAATCATCACTACCTGTAATTATACACCAAAGTTGCAGGTTTTATCCCTGGTCAGGGCACATAAAAGAAGCAACCAATGAATGCATAAATAGGTGGAATAACAAATCGCTCAATATCTCTCTCTCTTCTCCCCCTTTCTTTCTGTCACTCTAAAATCATTTTAAAAAATCAAGTTTTTTTTTTGTTTTGTTTTTAGAATTTAAAAGATAAATTCTCTGTTACTTGGGACAATGAAGAGGGAATTAAAAAGGCAGTGCTTCTTGTCTACTTCAACCCAAACAGCATCCTATCGAGTGATCACCTTGGATATGCAGCTGCACAGAGACCTATTTCTGAAGCCTTCCCTCTGATGCACACAGGAATCCAGCATGTTCATTCCAGTAAGAGGAGGGTAGAGGGGGAGGCTGGTGCTGGTGCTGGATGCATGCCAAGTGTCGTGCACCCTGCTCATATAACCCCACTGTTTGGTGTTCAGGCAGTGCAGGACATAGCTAAGAGCCAAGCAGAGCGATAATATTTACTGTTGCTAGAAGGCAGAATGCTGGCCAGAGTGAGAGAAGACACGTCTGGCAGCCTCCGGGGAGGACAAGTATCTGCTTTACAGAGTAAGTAGTCTCTGCCTCTGAGTAAGGAGACCAGGTGGGTAAGGATATGGAAGCAGCTAGAAGCCTGGCCTTAGGAGGCTGCTCCCAAAGCTGTCTGCTCTCCAGGGAACCAGAGGAGAGCACCCCTCCCTTCCTGGAGGCACCATGCCCTCCCACAGCAGACATTCATCTGCACAGAGCTTAAGAGAATTTAAGCCAAGAATAATCTTTTTCTTTTTTTTTCTTTTTTTTTACAGAAAGACAAGGTTTATCACAATTTTTTTAAAGTTAGAATCTACCTTAATTTATACAAGTTGTACTATTGAACTGCAAGTCAAGCCATTCCCTTTTTGTTCTTAATTTACACAAGTTTTACCAATAATACAAGTTGAGCCATTTCCTGTTTTTGCACAACTTAACATACACACAAACATACATGCATATGGACACCCACATAATGACGGAGTCTAGGTAGCCTATATTTATTTTCATTGTATCTAATACCTTTCCCTGACCTCCAAAGTTACCAAAATTGTCTACAACTACCCTTAAAAATATTTGCTATTCTGTCACATCTCCCTGGTCTCAGAAACTAATTAGTTAATAAAGACCAACTGCCAAGGTAAGTACTTGCAACAAGAATGGCATCTTGGCTGTTTACAGCACAAGGATCTTCAAGTCCCCAGGCTCATGTCTCCCTTCTCTGAAGGCCAATTACACATACCAGAGCCTCTATGCCCCATCATCTTGCGTGATCAATGATTCATGAGTAGTCTCATGGCATAATGTGTGAGTGCCTAGGACAGGGCTGCACAAAGTGGCCCTCAAAACCTGGTGCACTGATCTGACCAGGCGCAGCAATAGAGGCTGACTTACAAGTGGAGGGTGTGAGATTCCCCAGAGGAAAGAAGATTCCCATGGTGGGAGCTGAGAGATGGACACTAGCCGCCAGGAGACTACAGCTTTCCCCCACAACCCCATTCCCAGGTAAAACTCAACATGCTAAAAAACAAATTATCTCTCTTCCCCTACCCTCTCCCAAAATAGCCAACTAAGGACTCTTCCTGTGTCTCCAGTCCGTGGAGGGCACCATCATGCATCCTGCCACACAAGTCAGAGTCAGACCCCCACAGAACAGTCCTTCCCAAGTCTGCCTCCTATGCATCTCAGTTCTGCTCACTCATCTCCAACCCTGTCAGCAACCCCTAAACCAAATACCCAGCCCTGCCTGGATACCGCAACTGCCTCCTCTCTGGTCTCCCCACATCCACTTTGTCCCTCCAGTCAGGATTCCACCTGGTCATGTCAGCCCCAGCAGCAAACCCTGTGATGGTTTCCCAGAGCTCTAAGAACAATGAACAAAGTCCCTCCCCAGGTCAGAGAGGCCTTGCAGAGTTTAGGCCCCCACTTCCCTCTCTGAGCTCCAGAAACCCTGGCCTCTGCCAGTTCCTGGAATGTGCCCTATCCCTACCTGCAGCCCTCAGCATAAAAGTT